TGGACAGGACAGTGTCTAACTCCTCTTGCCCACAGATGACACGACTGTCTCTGTAGAAAGTAAGAAAACGCACACGCACGCATGCACGCGTGGGCCCCAGAAAGCAGGGTGTCAGCTTCTCACAGAGTCACACACCTCGGCATTCCACTGCGATGTAGGGTTACTACACAAATACCAACTGCGTTTCTTTTGGCAATGAGAATCAGAAAATGAAACTGGGGAAACAACATCACTTACAAGGTAATCAGAAATGCAAATGGACCGGGGATTTAGCTCAGTGGTTCGGCTGCCTGTCTTGCAAGCGCAAGGGCTGGAGTTTGATCCCCCATACCAAAAAAAAAAAAAAAAAAAAAAAAAAAAAAAAAAAAAAAAAAACAAAAAAGAAATGCAAAGCTCCTGTAGCTGAAGAGCACGGAAAGTCACTGAGCCGCATCACATCAGGGAGGACTTGGTGTGGGGGAGGTGACAGCTGTCCCCAAAGTGATGTACAAGGCAACTGACTTGGTGAGAACCTAATAAAAATCCTCAGCAGAATGGGTGCCAAAATCAATGAGCTGATTCTGATTTCACATGCACATGGAAATGCTGAGAGTAGCCAGGAGCACTGTAAGAAATAATCACAGGGACTGACTCCAAGATTCATCACCATCACGCGGCTCTGGAGCAGGGGAGCGGGGGCTGCATCAAGACAGCAGACAGGAGAAACAAAGCCGGAGAACATCAGAAAGGGACCCACATCCCCGCGGCCAACTGAGTTTCAACACCGGGGTGACACAGTTTCTCACAGGGGTACCAGGAGCCAAATGCGAACACCCCACAGATCCACACCCATCGGACGGTGGGCTAGGAAAGAACTCAGAGACTGAGAGAGAAAAACGGACCGTACAATTAAGAACTGTACACTGGATTCCATCCAAATGATGAACTTGTCTTTGAAAGACACTCCGGGGAGAAAACCAACATAGGGAAATATCTTCCAAGTTACTTCTCAAAGGGACGCAAGAGTCTAACAGGCCTCATTAACATACATAAACAACTTCACGCAAATACTAGGCTCACCATCGTGTCACTACGGGACTTGAACTTACGTTAGTTTCTGCAGAAGGTGCACACGTGTGGCCGTGCACACCTGCCAGCACTAAACGGACCGAGGCGCCGTGACCCTCAGGTACCACGGGTAGGAACAGGAAACGGGAAACAGGCTGTTTCTCTGGCAGTTAAATATGCACCCAGTGCACAGCCTAGCCTAGGGATTTACCCACCAAAGACTTGGCCTCCAAGGCCCACAGCAGCTTCGCTCTTAACAACCACAAACTGGAAAGAACGACTTTCAATCCTCGGTGATCAAATAACCAAGCGGCAGGCGGGCCACACACAGGCAGGCTCAGCCCAAAAGGATGGCGTCCGGACACATCCCATGCAGGTGGACCCCAAGAGCACCCCAAGAACGGAGCCCGTTCGGAGGACACGCAAGCCAATCCCAGGTCAGGGGAAGCTGGGGACCGAGCGACGGGGAGGGTATCAGACGGAGCAGATCCCTACGATAGCCCTTAGCGGCGGCAGCGCCGGGCTGTCAGAACAGGAGGCCACGCCACCCCCCAGGGAACCAGAGATCAGCACCCGGGAGAGCCCAGCAGGCCCGTGTGACTCACCTGTGGCCGGGAGGACGCAGGCTCCCCAGGCAGTATCGACCCCGCAGGTACCACCCACGGGCCACTTGTCCAGGGAGGAATCGGCCTTTGCTTGTCCAAGGGCCAGGTGGACGTGAGGATCACACCGTAGCCCCCAGGACCAGTCCTAGTGTCTCCACCATCCTGCTCTCAGCCCCCATGGTGTCCAGTCCCACCGTCACCTCCAGATGTGTGCTGTGAGGCGGAGAGGCGCGACGCCAGGTCCCTGTGCAGCTCCCGGGCGGGCCCAGCCGCAAGTCCAGGAACCCGAGTCCTCTGAACCGCTTCTGCCCCTGCTGCCTCTGGCGGGCAGCACCACGCCCCTCACGAGAGGTCAACCGAAGGGACCACGCACACGCACGCTGGCAAGCAGCTGCCTCGAGCATCTGAAAGGCGGCCTGGAGGGTGGCCGGGAGGGTGGCCTGGAGGGCTGGCTGGCCCGGAGGGCTGGCTGGCCCTGCCGCTCCCTGTGCCCTGTGATGTGGAGCCGCAGTCTGCAGTTTGAGTGTAAGAAATTCGACCAACGACCGGAAGTCAAGGACCGGAAGTTTCTTCAGCTGCGTTAAAATACAGTCTGTCCCAGCCCACACCAAACGTAAAGGTGGACCACAGGTAGTTTTGTCTGCATAAGTTTTAAAAACGTTTTCTAATTTATACTTGTCAGATCTCATACTGACACCAACAATTTCTTTTTTTCGGACAGGCTCTGACCATGTGGTCCAGGCTGGCCTCAAACTCAATGATGACCCTTCTGCCTCAGCATCCCACTGCTGAGATAACCCGCGTGGGCCACCACGCCCAGCCCAACACAATTTTATGGAGCCAAAGAAAACCCAGCAGGCCCCTGGTAGCGAGTCTTCCCTGACTGTGACAGAACACCCCAGGTGTACCTTGTCTTCACGGCCCTTCTAGCCATGAGCAGCTCCTTCACACCGCAGTCCTAAGCAGTTGCTCCATCTGGGGAGGTACCCACCCTGCAATTGCTTTAGTCTGCAGTTATCTGCCCTTTGTTCCTGCAGCACAGCATGGGCCCCCAGGCCTTCCTGGTGTCATAATCTCAGGGGACTTGGAGGAAGAGACCCCGGGCTCCTCACCGACCTGCAGACAGAGAATCTGCATTTCTCAGTCTCAGTTACTTTAATGCAAATTGACAGACAGCTCTACAGGGTTCATCTGAGCCCTGTTGTTCCAAAGCTGGTGCCACACTTGAAGAAAAGCTCCCTGGCCAACCATACCAGTCCGGGACATGGAAAAGTGAAACTGACAGCTGTCATCCCACTACTCAGAAGGTGAGTGCAAGGTCAGCCTGGGTAACACAGCGGTCCCTTACCTAAAAAACAAGATGATGTGTGAGCCAATATCTTACATACAATATCTTTATGTTCATGGAAAGATATTTTTTAAAGGAGGTAGCTGTTATTGTGTGCAGAGGAGGGAAAGAAGCCCCAAGATGTGTCGTGACAGGTTGCACACCCTCTGAGCAGTGAGGGTGCAAGCCCCAGGCTGAGACCTGAGGAGTCTGCCTGGTGCTGACAAAGCAATAGTGTACAGCAGCCCAAGCTTTTGCCTTCACCCCTCCATGTTTTTTCCATAAAATGTTCTGTTACAGGAATGTAATCATCTGTGCTATATGGGCTACTTGCCCAATGTATCGAAAGTGTTCTGCTCAAATAGTGTAACTGCTAATACCTGATATTTCTGTCTAAGGTTTCAAGAGTGTTTTGTTAACTCCACTGCAAACCTGTCTCTCCCTCTGCCTTCTAGCTATGTCTCCGCCCTGAAAGGTTCCTGAAATTACTCTCCCAATTGCATATAAACTGACTCTCACCACAGCTCAGGGCTCAGAATTCAGCATGACTGAACTCCTCTGGGCCACACAGCTAGCAAAAGGTTTTTCTCCATCTCTTTGAGTAACTTTTGGACTCTCAAGGCTTCAAATCACTGTAGCCATAACCCAGAGCTGTAGCACTTGGCTGTTTTGCTGAGCTGTCCCACTTTCCCCCAGTGGTGCCAGTCCAAGTCCAGCAGCACGAGTGAGTGAGGCAGAAGAGAAAAGCCTTCCTCAGCTGTTGTTCTGCTCCGGCCTTCAGCTAATTAGGTGCAGCCCACCACATCCAGGAGCATCTTCTGTACTCAGCCTGTGCTGATGTCTGTCTTGTCAAAACCCCTCACAGAAAGACACTCCACATAGGACAGTGTTCCCCCAAGCACTGGGCACACTGGGGTCCAGCCAAGGGACATCTGGTATTAACATCACAGGTACCCAGACACCCATGGAGAGCCAAATGGACCCAGGGCCCCAACCATTACAGTTATCTGGGCAAGCTGTGGCCCAGCAAGGGACACACAGCTCTGACCAGCACAGCAACTCTACTCTGCCCAAACCACCTGGCCAGTCTGGTGGGCTACTGACATCTATCCCCAAGAAGTGTTGGGCCAGGCACTGTCAGTGACCCAAGCCCATCCAAAAAATCTGGGGACTGAAAGGGGACAGGGGGTGATGGTGTCCACAGACCAGTCCCACGAGTCTCAGCCAAAGGGAGAGGTCACTGAGCCCGGCTGTCAGGCCTGGGACCCAGTCTGGAGTCCTAACCAGCACTCACGCAACCTGGTCTTCCCCAAAAGCAGTGCCCATGGCCTGCCTGTGTCCCTGAAGATGAAAAGGCATGCCCCACCAAAGAGCCACTTCTGGGGCATCTGTCCCACCTCGACTCCAAAGGCAGTGTGGACGAGCCAGACGCAGCTGTCCACACAAATCACACGGGGCAGGAGCTATACCCAGCACAACACATGCAGAGCCCAGGGAAGGGCGGCCTTGCTGCCCACCTCTGTTTGGGGCATTCAGATTTAGGGCACATCCAGGGCTCTGGCAAGTGAGCTGCTCAGCCCCCACTATCCCTCACTCATCCTTCTGGAGCCCATGTATGCATGGACATCAGAGCCACATTGGATGCCCATTTTCAAGGTGAGAAACCAGCATCCTGATGCAGGAGCCCCCAGGCCCCGGGCGCCGGGCCTCAGATCTGTGTGCAGGGCTGCAGGAAGCCACCCTGGCTGGTTGTGGGTTCTGTCTAAGGTCACAGGAAACACTGTGGGGCTCCTGCATCTGCTCGGCACATCCTCCCCACTGCAGGAGCACAGGTGTCTTTAGGTGTCTTTAGGTGACTTGGTGACCGAACAGGGCCAGGCTGTGTGCCACCTGCACCAGTGCTAGTGACCTACAGAGCAGCTAACCCTGGCTCCTCTGCGTCCTTGCTGCAGCATCCCAGCTCCCAAGACGGCTTGCACCAGCAAATCCCAGAACAGAGCCAGGGAGCAACTTCAAAATACCTTTATTTGCCTCATAGGGTGGCCACTCCATGCAGCCCCACCAGGGGTCACTGCTGTGTGCCGCAAGGACATTTCTGCGCTCTCCACTTCCTCCTTGCACACTTCAGTCCTCCATGTCTTCCAGCTCTGTGACAGCCAATTCCTCTACATTTAAAAAAAAAAAAAAAAAAAAAAA